CAAAAGGCGAATCCATGGAGAACCGGACGGTTGTTACGAACTAAAAACTCGCGTAAATAACACCGCGTTGTTGCCGCGTCCATTACATGCGAACTCGCCATTAGACTTGGATTCTCTCGTTAAAGGAATGATATATTAACCCCGCTTACGAGACCCTTTTGTTCTTTCCTGGTTATGAATTCTGTATAAACAGGGGTTAGCTCGAGAGAGAGAGAGAGAGAAAGAGAGAGAGAGAGGAAGAGAGAGAAAGAGAGAGAAATATTCTAAGCACGTATGTTGGTTGCGTTGTTGTCCACTCGCGTGTTGCTGCTTGAACTTTGAACATGGTGCAAGTGCATTAAATTATAGTTCACGCTTGACGCGAACGCGGTCGTGCAAGCTATTCGTTGCCGTAGCTTTTCTAATTACGAACGTGTTTCAATCGTACACGCTCGTTCATCAGCTTCGATCGTTCTCGCAATTCTCTCTCTCCCACCTACCCTCTTGCCTCACCGGAAATGCCAGTGTAACTCGTATTGCATAGAATCGACAAACGAGGGAAGGAAAAAGCAGATTTACGCGACGTACAGCTGGCGGGGACTAATGGATCTGAAATATTCGACGATCGATGAATTGATGGAGTTGAAGCGCAGTTGGTCGATGGCCAACGATTAGGAGATAGGTAGACAGTCATAAAGTACCGGCTTGGGAATGACTTTATTTTAATAAAGACTCGCTAAATTGCAAAGCACTTTGCTAAAACGATTACACGACGGGAAATTGCTTTTAGCGCCACAATTACGTTCGTACGTCGCGTCGCCTTGCCCAGGGCACCAACGATCCACCACCGCCGGTACAACCGTAGGCAAGATCCCTGTACGGCTTCTTTCCGTTTCATACCGCTTCCCTCGTCCTTTCACGTCGATTACATTTTATTCCCGACACCTCGGTTCTGGATCTTCGTTTCCGGGCGTTACACTGATTTCCACGTCACTGGGCACACGTGTTTTACATTCGCCCGAGAGAAGTGGTTTTTGCTGGTTTGATCGACAATTTATATCGACATGCACACAGAGACAAAGAGAGAGAGAGAGAGAGAGAGAGAGAGAGCGAGTCAAAGGTTTGAGAAAATTTCACGATTGATTTTTCTTACACGATTTATAAAAATACAGAAAATAGCAACTGTTTCTCAAAGATTTCTCTTGCCTTTTGACCTATCTTTTCTCTCTTCCTTCTTGTTTCTTTTTTTCTCTCTTTTTCTTCCTTCATACAATGTGTCTTCGTAGCAGATTTCACGGTTTTACAATCGGTAATTCATTGGCGACGGGGAAATGGCGCGTCCATTCCCCGTTCGTAAACTTAATTGTGAACGGAGGGAATTGCTTCTCTAGTTCCGTTTCATCGCTAGTCGGATAAAGGTAATTCTCTGGCGTAGCCGCGAGAACAATGTGTTACTCGGTTCGATCCGGTCGACGGATATATTCGCTGGATGACCCAATCTTCGGGCCGAGTTCAAGTCCTCTTCCATCTCCGGACTCTCGGTGCCCTGTCCCGCAAAAACTTCTTTAATCTTCCGAGCGTTTCGAGGACGAATCTGTCTCGTTCGATATCGGCTGCTGCCTCGCGGCCCAGTCGAACGCGAAGACTCTCCAGGGGAGGCAAACAACGACAGAACAGGAAGCCCGATTCTTGCAAATTACGAATTATATTTCACGCCCCATTAACCCCGCTCGTGTCCTTCTATCTTTTCAAAAAGTTTCTCTCCAGTCTCCAATTAAATTACGAAAGAATTCTCGTTAAATGTGCGTTACCTCTCGCTTCAATTTCAACGCAGGAATATTTCCCTTAATTAAAAAATGAGAGAAAAAGAGAAGAAAGAATTCGTAAACCGTAGTTAGATCGTACGAAAGATATTGCGAGAGGCAATATGTGGCAGATTGTGTTTAATGTATTAAATTGCTATATTATGAAAATTAGCCAGAGTTTTAAACTCTGAAAGTAGGAGGGAACTTTTTATCGGCGAGGAAGTAAAAAAATAAAAAAAAAAGGGAAGAGAGGAAGGAAGAAAGACAGTGAAATTTAGACGAGATGGAAGGACGGTAGGTTGCGTATGACGTGTTCGAATACGAGTGAAACCGGCTAGATTGCTCGCTGAAACGAAGGGTACGAGCGTGGACAGGGTCGGTGTGTTGTAGGTCGTCTCTCCGGCGGCGAGACGAGCGAGCGTAAGACTAGAATGAGGGGCAAACGTGACGGCGGGGCCGTGAAGCGAATCAAACGATTTCACGCTCCAAATTCCCGCTCTTTGAATCAGCCAGCGTGGAGAAGCCTGTAAGAAATGGCAAAAAGTACAGTTATTTCGTTTCCCGCTGAAGTGCCTGTATTCGTTTCCCCGTATCGAGTCACTCGTCCTTCTGGCGCGGCGCGACGCGGCGCGGCGTCGCGATTGAAGATTGTGGGTCAACGAGACGCGAAACGAAGACGCACGTCCCTTTTTTCCCTTTTTTTATTCCATTTATTATACTTGGTCGTAAATTAAACGCCGGTGGAAGTTTTAGCAATTCTGCCGAATGGAAATTCAACTCTTAATCTGTCGTTCTCAAAATTGTCCAATGGGACAATTCGTAATCGGCGATCTATCTCCTCGACGATTCTTGCGTTTGAGTTTGAATCGAAGCTCGTATTTCGTCGTTACGGCGAAATTCTTTCTACGGTATCTCGTAAATTTTCGGTGTATCCATCGTTACACAACATACAACACACAACACATAACACACAACACACAACACACGCAGAGTTATCGCAGTCGCGGGTTGCTCCGAGTATTCATATTTTGCTACAGAGGCGGAGCGACGGGAGCGGGAGGGAGGTTCCCTCCCATTAATGTGCAAAATCGTATTTGCAATAGTAAAATACAGTTAAGCAAACACAGCTGCGCCGCATTGCGTTCTCTCAGCGTAGTTTAATGACGCTAGAGGCAGGTTACTCTCGGTCTCTTTACACCTCACTAATTAGTAAATATGTTACGTATTTACAGCGTGCGATTTTATAAAGCGTAGAATGCACGCTCGGGTGCATTCGGGGTTCTCGATGATTTGGACAGCAAACGAGCCAAACTTCAACCCTTCCACCTTTCGCGCGTAAATCTTTTCAGAGTGTGTTCAAAGTCCATGATCGCGTTCCGTTTTTGAAAGTATCTGTCTGTCATCTGTTTCTCTTTTTTTTTTCGATAACATCAGAATATCCGGAAACTTCGTAACAGCGTTGTTGAATTATTTCAGCATGCATCTCGCTGTCATCGAAAGAGAATTAGTTATCGTGCTTTCGTCATACGATGAAATGCTGAAAGCGAACAAACACCGCTGCCGCTTGAAAAGAGAAAAAAGTACAGGATCGGTTAATTAAAAAGTTTCGTTTTTCAACGCGACAACGTTGAATGCGTTGAATGCAGTGTGAACAAACTGCGGGTAAAACATTATATATTAGATATTATAACCGTGATATATTCAATCGTCATTCGTTCTACTCGTCGCCTGTATCGATCTGTATGAAAAACTTTTAATGGTTAAAAAGTGTTTCGCGGTTTTACAACAATTTGCAAAGCGATTCGCCTTTGAAAGGGGAAGCCATTAATGAATTTGTCCGTTCCGGGAAACATTTTCGTATACGCGCGCGTGCGCGCGCTGAACCGATGGAAATACATTTCATTTCGGCGTTCCACGTCAGCGAACAGAGTTGGAAAGAAAAAGAAAAAAAAAAAAATCGACTCAAGGCGCAGCGACAAATTCCATCGAATGGATTGAATGTTGCAAGTAGCAGCGCGACGTTTAGTTTAGCGCGACACACGGGGGTCGGGGTCGTTAACCGCGTCTCTTTCTTTCAGCACCGGGACGAATTCAGCGTTTCACGGATCGTCATATTCGCGCGTGCATAAGCGTTACGTATGTACGTGTGTACGTGTGCACGTGTCCATTCAGTGGGCGCGAGCCTGGTGAAAAATCGAGGCGAGAAAAAATGTTCAATATTCAAGCGGTAGAGAAAGGAAGCACTGGAGTGTACGACGAGCAGCTAAACCCGTAAATAGAATACAACTCTCGCGTTGTATTTATATTCTCTTTGCCGGGGCGACGAATCCTTTGCGCGTTTCCGCAACGAAATTTATCCTTGCTCGCTTTGAAAGGTCCGCGACGATCAAAGCGATCTCGAGCTCCGCGTTCGCGGCTCTCGACCGTAACGTTCGCGAAAAAAAGGCGCACATCCAAGCGCGATGGATGTGTATGATTCCGTTTCGAGTCGATACGCGATACCGATAACGATGCAACGACTGGTCTAGTCGCCGTCGCGGTTTCTTCCCGGATGCTTCTCTCCGTCCCTTTAAAAACTCGCGCACGACCGGTAGAAACGAAGAAACTTATCCCGATGTTCGTCGTTGCGCGTGTCCGAAAGTACAAAAAAGACTCGAGGAGCCGGGCGGTGGGGAAATACAAAAGGGAATAAAAGGAAAAATCGACGGGCAGATGATAGAAAAGAATAAGAGTATTGACGTGTATACAAAAAACGAACCGTTGCCTGGCAGGTACGCATCGCGTGTTTTATGATTATGTACGTCGCATGACGCGCACCGTCTGGGAGGACTTTCATTGAGCGGACAAACCCCTAGGCACGGATTCGAGAGGAAAAAAAATCGTCGATACGGCGTAGGGGTTTGGGCACGAAGCGAATGGAGGGAGAATGAGGGGGGGGGTGGTTTCGGGGGTGAGAGTGTAGAACGGGCAGTCTGCCAGAAAGGACGGGGCGAAAGGTGGGATGAGGTCCGATCGTGGGTATGCACTGAAACGCAGAGAGAGAGAAAGAGAGAGAGAGAGAGAGAGAGAGAGATGGACGGCAAGAGAGACAAAACGCTAGAGAGAAGAGGGTGGCTATGGTTGAAGAGAGAAAGACGGGCTAGAGTTGGCTGGGATACGCGGATAGCGGATTGGGATGGATGGGTTGATTGATTGGGCACGCTTGTATTGTTTCAGGAGGAAGCTGAATCGACGTAACGGTCTACGCCAGGATGGCCAGTTGGCCGCTGAGAATCGTACTTCTGTCCAGCACCCTCATCCTTGTCCGCGGTAAGTAAGAACACAAATCTGCCTGGTTGCTCCGTTGCCGGTGGAAATCATGCTCGCTGGACCGTTTCGTTTCGTCGTGTTTCGACCGTCGGCCATTTCACCGTCCGTATCACGGCGAAGCCAGGGCAATACCGTGGGGGATATGCCTGTTTCGCTGGGAACCGGGAAAGGGAAGTGCGTTTAGCCGGGTAAATATTTGCGTTGCTGAACGCGAAGCGAGAAAATGAGAGACGTCACCGTGTTTTCCCAAGAAGAGAATGTATTCGGCCAATAAAGTGACTTCCTCCACGGAGAAATGATTTCTCCCGGTTTGCTCTTTTTTAAAGGACGAATTTGATTTCCGTCTTTCGCATAAAACGGCATAAAAGTTTCGTTGTATCTCGTTTCTCTCGAGATACGTGCAACTGCCGACGTGGAAACGTACCACGGATGGTACGTGCTTTGCCTTCGTCGTTTTTTATTATCCGTTTTCATTTTCATTGTCAGAGCGCGATAAAAGTGACAGATAAGTGTAGGGGATATATTGAAAACTTTTAATATCGCGGAGAGTCACGGTACTATTCGTCGTAGCAGCCGACTGTCGAGTCGAAGCACGTCGGTTTACAGGAACGGCAGGAAAAACGCGTACTCGCTCCGGTCGTTTTTCAGCTCCTCCCGCTACCGACAGGGGACGAGCCTCGAATCTGTTTGCAGCACAAGTGTCTGCTGATTGATTTTCTGCCACTCGACGATCCGTTCGCCGTTGCTCAATCACGCGACGAAAGCACCATCGCCCGGTGTCCATTTAAATTATAGACGTCGGTTTCATTTATTTCAGAATCCATTATCTTGGCAACTTCTCGCGCCGGCGTGTAAGCCAGTCCGAGGAGAGCAACTTCTCGTACTCGTGCTATCCGCTTTGCTCTGAACTTGCGTCATTAATAACTTTCCCCTTGCCGGAGAAATGACAGGGGAAGTGGGAGGGGAGGCACGATCGTTTCAGCCAACGTCATCGATTAATAACTTCTCTCGGAAAATCGTTGCATCATTGGAGAAGGAGCTGGGGAGGTAGCAATAATCGCGTTTAAGCGAACGATACTCGTAAATAAAAAGTTCGTTACGGAAAGTTGGCTTTCACGTTATTTAAATGCCGCCGTTCGCGGTGGAAACTTTTGTGCTCGAATTCTCCGAAGTAATTTCGTTGCGAGCCGATCGAACCGCCATCGGTGATGTCTTTGCCATCCGCTGCGAGCGACCGACCGGCTTTTATTTATTGCGCTCCTATAAACGTCCCTGAGGGTATTAAATCGCCGATAAATTCACCGTACTACGTCCGATGACAATCCGAACTTCGCCGGAAAAACGTAGATATCTTCGAAACGTACAGGCTTGAGATACTTGTTGCCTTCGCTTTCGACTCTTCCCCTCTGTTTCTCTTTTTTTCATTTCTTCATCCCCAGTTTCCTGTGCCGATGTCTCGCGACTGTTACGCTCGAGTTCCCTCAAGAAACGTTAAAATAATGCCACGGTCTTTCGCGTAATTAAATATCGGTACTTGGCGTTTTCTATACCAGAACGATACAAACTTTCGAACTGGAGTTTTCACGAGCGTTGAAAAAGTTAGTCAATATTGAATATCATTGCGAGTGCGTTTCACCCCGTTGTCTTTCTCTCCCCTTGACGCTCGTAAAAACTTTTTAATCGACGTCGCTTGCTCTCTCACGTTCTTTTCATTTTCTTTTCTTTTTTTTTTTCTGTTTCCTTTGACTGATTTCATCACGCCGCGTGAGAAACGCGCGAGTCGACCGACGCTTCTACCGTTCCTTCCTATTGGTCCTCCATCCAGGCAGAAAACGCGCGCGCACACACACACCGATGCTCACTCTCCCTGCAGAGAGAAATTTCTCCCTCGGATCCTCTTCAGAAATCGGTCGAGGAACATCGGATTCGTGTTATCCCAGCCACGAAGTTCGTCTTTCAACGTCGGCTGTCTCCGCCAACTTTTCTTCGCCACTTTCTCGCCGTCGTAGGGGTCGAGGGGGTTGGGAACGAGCGGAGAAAGGGACACGTGTACACAGGCGCTCACGCTGTCCAACACTCGCTCAGAATGCAGAGTACGTGCACGAACCGCGTGGCTGTCAGTCGGTTTCCGGCTATAAGCTATCGCGAGGGGTGGAGATGGGGAGGAGGGATAGTGGAGTGGAAAGAGCGTGGAGTGATTTGGAAGGTAGTTGCGACCTCGTTGGCGGATCGACCGAGAGAAAAAGAGAGAGAGAGAGGGGCGGCGGGGAGAGAAACGATCGAAGAAAGAGAGAAACTGGCGGATAGAGAAACGGGATGGTGGAAAAAAGAGAAAAGGAGTATAAAAGGAAGAAGAAAAGAGGCAGGAGGCGGTGTTAGCGTCGGGGGATGGTGGCTTAAACGAGGAGGGAGGGGCGGGTGCTTTCTTAAAGATGTGAGTCGGGGCGCACTTGTTGCGCGGAAAAGGAGTACGGCCGATGCCAAGGAAGGAAGAAAGGAAGGAAGGAAGGAAGGAAGGAAGGAAGGAAGGAACAGGCGTGTGCAGGCTCGGAAGCGTGCAAAAAGTGGTGGTGGTGGTGATGGTGGGTCGAGATGGAGGTGGACGGGTGGCGAAGAAAAACGACAGAGAGAGAGAGAGAGAGAGAGAGCAGGGGAGGAGATTTGACGGCGACAGTGAGAGTTCCAAGGGAAGAAAGGTGAAGAAAACGATAGGGGTTGCGGGGCGAAGATACGGCTGGGGAATCGAATTGATTCTCTTTTACGGGCTCGCGTTACTTTTCTTTACCGTCTTGCCATCCTTGCCTCTTGACCGTACTCTCTCGGCGTTTCCCCGCGTCCCTTTCTTTCGCTCGGCCGCGTCGAGTCCCTATCCTTCTCGCTCGTGTTATTTATTTATCAGCTCTCGCACGTAGCTTTCCTCAGCCTCGTGTAAAGGACCTGACGAGCCACCACTTGGACCGGCCACCTTCTTTCTCTCCTCCTTACCTTTTAACCGAGCTATTTCTCTTCTTTCTTTGCCCTTTTCGCTTCCCTGGTCGATCCCCGTTGTACCCAGCTTCCTCTCTCATTTCGTTCGCTCGTCGTTGGATCGGTGAAAGGCGTTTCTTTCACACCGACGCGACGCGAGGAATCGGCACTCGCCAATTGCATCGGCAAGACGAGAGAGAAGACTTATTGAGATTCCTTGCGGACAACGGTCCTCCAAGGCGTTCACGATCGATTCTCGAACGGGCGACCAATCGCGACGACCCATTGGTTATGGTGAATATCGTATATCGGAGAAAAGTAATGGCCCGAGGAATGATCGATAGCGAATAGTGGACAACTCGAGCCGTCGGTCCGTCGTCTTTCCTCTTCCACTTGAGATACGTACACACATATGTATGTATACAGTACCTGCACATATACATATAGAAGACACGGGGAAGAAGACGGCGGATCGCAGCGGTGTATGCAAAGAAGTTCACATCGCGCAATAATTTATTAATTCAAGACGGATTAGATCCTCCTGGAAGAGGTGAAAGAGAAGAATGGTGCTTTTAAGTTTATTAGCCGTGGAACAAAAGACCGAACGCGAACACCTACGCTCTGGATAGCTCCGGCAGTCCATTGAACTTCCTTTCGGCTTGAGAGAATTCACCACGTTACTTATTTATCAGCATCTATACGTATGTACGTGGGTACGAGCGTACCGAGCGAGCCCCGTGTAAAAGAACCACGCGACTATCACCTCTTAGGAGAAAGGCACTTTCTGCGCGAGCAGATAGAATCAACCGGCTCGGATTGGATTGTAGCCACAAGGAAAAACTTATTTGGATTTCTCGCGGATATAAGGCGATCCCTGGGTTGCTTTTACTCGGGACTTGGACGCGAATTGACCGATATCGTTGGGACGTCCTGCGAATTGCCAGACGAACACGGAATCACGTGCATACAATTTCTCGGTAATCGGTCTCGCGACTGGTCCTTTAATCGAGAAAATTAAGACCTGCCAAAGGGCACGCACGTGATGTTACTTATTTAACTTTTCCCGATGGAAACTCGACTCTGAGGCGTGTTGCGATACTCCTCGTGTTGAATAAAGAAGCGTTAAATAACAACGTATATAGAAGCTACCAGTTCCGAGGTAGCCGGTTTTTCCTTGCTCTTCACTTCCTCGAGCTTGTTACGAGAAAAAACGAAGGTGAAACATTCCTCCGGCTCCTGTTTTTAGCGCTCGCAAAGGAAATTCCTTTATACGCGGCAACTGTGCTTCACCCTCGGTCTTTTAAACTTTATCTCTGTGTCTGATATCGACACTTCCCCGTAGAGAAACATCCGCCACGCCAATGCTCACGGGAACTTTTTCCTTCCTCGAACCTGTTCCTCCTCTCGGCGTTCTCGCGCGCACGAATAACCTCGCGAGAGTCTCGGAACGGTCTCGACGCGAACCTTGCACAGGGACCAGATTACGAGGAGAGACATTCACTCGGTACAGTGACATTTGTGCCGATTTCACGATCATCGCGGTGCGACGCGACTTTGTTGGAAACGTCAACAGAGACGAGAAACGGACGAGCGAAGATATTGTGCCGGTGAGTCGGTAATTGAGACTCGAGTGGGATGTTCTCGTTCCATCGTCGTCGATCTCACCGTTCGATGGGAACTCTCCACACGCTGGAAACTCTCCAACGTCGTTTACGATGTCTACATTCGCCGTTTGGCGTTCGATTGGATCCGATTTTCCCGGAAATTTCATCGGGCGTGCGATTTCGAGAAGTTTTACGGAGACGTGTCCTCCGGTTCGGGGGCCGTTTTCCATGAAAATGGCCCCGACGCTCGCCCGATAATCCGCGATAATATCGGCGACCATCTAGCGCGATCCGCAGGGGTGGAAATCCTCAGCCGGGGGGAAAGAAGCTCGTTGAATTTTCCCATCGGCAAGTCGAAGCCGGATAAAGGATTTCTGTTTCGCATGGAATCGAGGCAAGTTCGTAAATTCAATCCGAATTTATCGAACG